AGAGGGCTGCGCCCCCCGCAACCCCCTCAAACTAATCTAAGCCAACCTATCGTCACATTAGCCGTTAGTCATTGTTTATTAAAAAATTATTAAGAAAAAAAGTTGAACACTTTAATACCCGCTAGTCATTCAATATTGCAGTTACATAGGCTGCGTTTCGAAATTCACTGCCAGTACTGAAATTCTATAATATACGTAACATAAACTATAGATTTTCAGTACTGGCAGTGCATTTCGGAACGCAGCCATAATAGGTTTGTTCTTTCGACCTGACCTAGGGCTGCACTGGAACTGTACTAGTTGAAGAAAGTTCAAGATAGTGCAGACCAGTGCAAAGATACATATGGGTCTGAAAAGAACGGGTAAGAGCAAGTTAGAGCAGTGTAAGATGGCGGACAACATGGCTGGATTAAATAACATAGATCAATTTATGGTCATGTTTTCGCACTTATAGCATTTTATGTTTTCTTGAACAATCCTATTTCTTTTAAAAACTGTTTTGTGTTGGATACCCATACAACAAATCCCTCCGAAAAAACGTCCAAGAGCCTTCCCAGGATGTATTTCGGATATTTTGTGCTGTTTGGATAACATTCTAAATACTTCTTTTATGTCATTCTACATTATATATTTATTATATATTTATCTACATTATATATTTATTATATATTTAAGTATTTACTTACTGTTTATAGATTCCGTCGTCGGATTATTTCTTCTACGTAATGTCAACTAGGTATACCGATTTTACAGGTTATAGATACAAATTTAAATTTTTTCGGTTAGCTGCCCTGCACTGCTTGCTCTACCTCCAGACCTAGGGCAGTCAGTTCACTGAACTCGCTGCACTAGTTCAGCCTGCACTGTTCGAAAGAACACATTTTCTTGCACTGTTCTGATCGAAAGAACGCATTAGTGCAAACTTCGTGAACTAGTGCAGCCAGTTCAGGTCGAAAGAACAAACCTATAATGTGGGCTGCGTTCCAAAATTCACTACCAGTACTGAAAATCTATAGTTCATGTTACGTATACTATAGAATTTCAGTACTGACAGTGAATTTCGGAACGCAGCCGTGATTAAAAGATTAGTAACTCGTTTAAATTGTGAGAAAGCAACAAAGTTCGACAAGTGAAAAAAAAAAAAAAGTTAAAACAATATAACTTACATATTTTTCGGACTCCCTCGATTGATTATCAATATTGGAGTCAAAATAAATATTTTTACCAAAAGAGT